ATTTAAAAAATTAAGTATATACCAAGAACATAACAAAATTTAAATTTCCATTTTTGTTCCATCATGTAAATAATGTTTCAGTTAATTAAAATATTTTTTGTGATTATATATATATATATATATATTTCTTTTTCTCTTTCTCATAAAATGCAAATATATTATAAGCATTTTTAAAATCTTCACATCGAATGATTCTAAAAATAACGCTTCAAATTCCTACATTTCCGTAAGCAAACGAAGTTTTAATCGCTTATTAAGTTTTTATCATTCAACATTATTTAATCTTCCTCCATTCTGCGTACCATCAGAGAAAAGCTAAATCCATTGTTTTCTCTTGTTATAACAGAATGTCTTCCGTTTCAAAATATTTCATTGCTCTTACTCTGTCAGTTTTCACTGAAGCTTATCTTTTTCAACTTTAACTCCTTATTCTTCAGCTCGCTTTTAAAAACGTGGAGTAAACTGTTCAAAACTCTGGAAAAGTGATTTCAGTATTGATATCGAAGACTTTTGAAAACTGTGCGATGTTTTTATATATTGTTTTTTCTATCATTTTTTATATCAATTTTTGCTGTCTGATATTTATCATTATATATGTATAATACATATAAAATTGATCATTAAAAAAATTAAATTTTATATTAGTTTCATAAATTAATAACATGAAATAAAAAAGGAAGTATGAATATAAAATAAGATTTTGATTTGTATATTGATAATTTTGCAAATGATATTTTATAGTAACTGTTATAAATAATTATCTTTTCGTTTCAGCTATAATAAAAAATTTCTATTTTATAATTTTTAAAGAAACAAAAAAAATAAATTATATTATAATAATTATTAATTTTAATATAATAATATTAATAAAGATTTGAAGTATTCATGTTTTTCGACTATGATATTAATATGAAAAAGTGAAATGAAAAATTGGAAAAAAATGGAGAAACATGAGAAATTTGATTGATGGCTATATAAATTGGAATTTTGAAAATTTTATATTTTAAAATAAATATAAAAAATCAAAAGTTTTATAAGATTCAATATTTATATTTATTATATTCAATATATTCTATATGAAATCCTTCAAACTTTTTAATCTAAATATTTATTATTCTTAAGTATCTTATATCAAAAAATAAAATGCTCATATTCATTTTCTCATTTATACTCAGAATATGTGATAAAATAAATAATATTAATAATATATATAATAGCTTGGATATTATCATATCACTGATAATAATAACATAACAACGCAACAATATAGATTCTAAAAATTAAAAAGATCTGAAGCGAAAAACTCATAAAATTAAACAAAATCAGAAAATTAAACAATAATGAAAAACGTTTCGATATAAAAATTTTCCTTAAAAATCCCTTTTCTATTTACAAGGGCTCGTATAAAAGTAATAAATAAGTTCATAAAACAACTCTCTAATAAATTCTGTCATTTTTGCAAAAATTTCCATACACGCGAAAGCGCGTATATATTTTAAATTAAAAAAATAAAATTCAACTATTCGCATCGATCACAACTATCAACACGTATCGCTTTACATCTTCTCCCAACAACTTTCACCCCTTTCCACCCCTTTCCCTATCTCTATTTCCTCACGTCATCTCTCCACCATTCCCAAACGAAAAGAGAAATCATAGCACGCATCACAGAATGTCCAACAGACACGACATCGTTCAACGAATAGCCCTCGACACCCCCGCTACAAATAACCGTGAACAGGTTCGCGCTCACCCCCTTCCATCGATCTCCTCGATTCAAACGTAAGATGCGACACGTTCGAGGCTCCTTTTCAGGATGATTAAAAAACACGGACACGAGCCTCTCTCTTCCTCTCTCTCTCTCTCTCTCTCTCTCTCTCTCTTCCTTCCCCTCTCCTCTTCCTTTCAACCGTTAACTCTCGTGAAAAAAAAAACACCCCTCCTGACGGCGGCGGGGATTCAAGGGTGTCTGTGTCGTTCGCAGCGGCGGCGCGCGATCAGCCAGAAATCCGATACTCGATGAGAAAGCTCGAGGGAGATGACTTCGCTCGGTGGAAAAGTTTCTCCCATTAAAGAGATGAGATTTCATCGAAGGCGAGCTCTATCTTCCTACCTTCTTCGCAATTCCGCCTCTCGCCCCCTTCTCACAGCATCCGCACCGCCATGTTTCAACGTCTCCCCTGTCAACTCTCCTCCCTCCTTCTCTTCTCCTCCACCCATACCCCCTCCCGTTTTGCCTTATTTTTTTTAATACGCCTTATGGTTTTTTTTTTTTTTTTTTTTTACCTACACCTTTGCTTTTCATTTTCGTGCCAAAGAGAAAAGCCGCGGGCGGGATTAAATACCCGCGTTAATCCGATTCGGTGTAAATGTTTTCGAGCGCCTCGCCACCTCCATTTGTCACTCGTGGACGATTCTACGAGACTTCGAGTCGAGCGCGTGTCTGTGAACCACGGAATTGCACACATGTATGCATACATAGGGTGTCTCGGAATGAATGGTTTATATATGAAAGGTTAAAAGAAAAAGAGAGAGAGAGAGAGAGAGAGAGAGAGAGAGAGAAAGAGTGAAAAAATGAGATTCTTTCGTTTATGAAAAAACTTTGTTGGCAAATGAAGTGAATTATCGAGAGAACGTTTATTATTCTATAAAATAAATGAAAAGTGAAGAATAAGATTCTTTTATTATTTAAATTTTGTTGTTGAGAATATTGAGATTGAAGGTAGTGTACAATGATGAATATGGTATTTTTTTGAAAACTTTTAAATGAAAATATTTTACTTCACATTTTTTAATTTATTTATATTTAATCTGTAATTATTCAAATTCATTTGTGGTTGAAAACTTTTCAAAATATGATTTATTCGAAAAAGAACAAATATTCTTTTTTTTTGCATAAAAAAATCACTGTCTATCTATTTATATTGTTTTAACATAATTTATCCAACTTATTTTATCGTATGAATTATTTGTATAAAAAAATGTTCAAAGAAGAATTCAAATTTTTTGAAAAAAATAATTTAATTTTATAATATTTTTTAAATGAAATCATATAATTTTTAATACGCTAATCAATGTAGTTTATTATTTTCTAAATATTAATTTTCCATCATTTTTTTTTAATATTAATTTATATATATAATTTAAATCCTTTAAATTCATAAAAAATTTTTAGATGTTATAAACTTTCAAAAAGTTTATATATATAAAATTTTATGTTATTTCTTAGTATTTTTTAAATATTATCTTATAGTTTTTATTCATAAATTTTTTTTTAAATAGTTTATTCTTTAAAGAACTTTGAAAGAATAATAAGACATGTGTCTCAAAAATTCAATTTATTGACAAGTAATTAATTTATGTAAAAAGTTATTAAAACATATATGATTTCATTTGAATCTTTTATTAATATAATTTCTCAATATAAATATCTTTTAATATCTTTTTGTGAAAAAAAAAATAAATTACATTGATTAATATATTAAAAATTCAAAAAAACATTTTCTTTAAAAAGAGACAGAATAAACATTAAAATTATAAAATTCTATGTAAAAATTCTAAAAAAAAAAAAATGCAATTACATTTTCCAGAAACACTAATGCGTAAAAATTACGAACAATTAAAATTATGCTTCATTGAACATCGTTTGAAAGATATAATTTATTCCACTTTCTTAGAACACCTTGTACAGCGAGTACTTCTCATTTATAAATTAAAATTATAAATTAAAATTAGAACACCTTGTATACACATTATCCAGAAGGATTTGCATATACGTGTATACGTGAAAGTCGTTTCAAGTGGAAAGGGGATGGTTTTACTCGATAACGTCTACGACGGGGGTAAGGGCACGCCTCTTTTCACGCGCATTATTACTTGACCAATCTCGTAATCTCGGTCGTCGCGTTAAATTTATTCATGGCTCGGATAACCGTGTTAAGGTGTGTTTTACCTACCGCGGAGAGGTGTTCTTTGGTCAGAGCAGATTTTTTCCTGTGTCCTTTTTTGATTTCAGGTGATAAAAATTATGAAAAAGATTACAAAAGGATTTGTGCACAGTTATTGTGATATCATTAAAAAATTAATTAAATAATTAATATTAAAGAAGATATTTGGAAAAGAAATTTTAGACAATGTGTATTGGAATATGAAAAAAGAATTTATGATTGATCAATATTCTGAGTCAAATGATTTAAAATAAATTTTGATATTTGTCAAATTTAGATTATGTATTATTAAAAATATATATACTAATTTTTCATTGAAATTAATAGATACAAGATGGCTCGTTGTTTGAAAACAATAAAAAGAATTCATATAAATATATGATCCTATTTGATTTTGTTTTCGAGTTATTTTATTAATATAGTCTATGTACAATTATACTTTTTCACATTAGATATTTAAAATGATCCTTATTTTATAATTAAAACATTGATTAAAAAAACTTGCTTAATATTTTCACGAAATATTTTGAATATCAATGAACATTGATTATATATGATAGAATATATGATTTATAAATAATGGAATTAGTTTAATACTACTAATTTTTCTGTCAATAGAATTAATCCAATATAAAATTTGTTATAACTCGAAAACAAATACAAGAAATAGAATATAATAATATATACATCTATTAATAGTTCATTTATCCAATTGGAAATTGATCAATTTCACTGTATTTGAAATTTTTCAAATTTAATTTATTTGAAAACGGAGCTTTAAACGAAAAAAATATTTTTTTTTTTTTGACCTATTTTTGCGTATAAAATCAAGCATTATAATTTCAGGAGCATTCTGTATGTACAGCTTAAAAAATCTGAAAAAACATAATTTATAGATACAAAAGGATCTTTTGAAAGCGCACAAACGTGCATGGGTAAATTCGAGATAAACATTCGAATTGACTCGATTCGAGAAAATTCAAAGCGTCTCGTATATCCTGGTCGAATTATCGTCGAGTGTGCCGGGTCACGTCGTTGCATAGGTGTACTCACCGTGTAGCAAACTCCAGATGACGTCAGTGCATCCAATTCATGTCGAAGGCAATCCCTGAAACACACGGAGATACGTAGTTACAGAAAGAGAAAGAGAGAGAGAGAGAGAGAGATGAAACATTAACCGAGTTGTTGACTACCGGGACGACACAGGAAATCCGCGCCAAGAATTACTTTAACCTTCGACTGTTACCGAAACACGGAATCTCTGTGAAAAGATTTTACGTCCCAGGAAATACGTGTATAGTATGTGTGTACCTATCAAATTAAGTTTGTTTAAATTAACAAACTTTGTTTAGGGATATATGTTTGTTAATAAGGATGTTTGTGATAGAATGAATAACTTAATCACTTTGAATATCTTGTTTCATTTTAGAAAAAATATTTTAGATTTAAAATTGAATGATATAAAAAAATGCATAATTTGATAATTTTATTACAGGTTAATTAATTAATTTTCGATTTGATAATTTTTTCACAAATGAATATATGAAGTCGACAAGTTTCTTTTTAAATAGAATTATATTTGCTAGTGCATTAATTAAGAATATATTATTTTTTAAAAAAAAGATTGATTTATTTTCAAATGTTCGAAAAATATTTTAATTTAAATTTTATCAAATATTATCACATTACATTATCACACATATTATCAATTATTAACAAGGAAAATACAATTAGATGAGTATTGCTTTGAGTTTCTTGTCTTTTCAAAATTTAAATTAAAATATTTTCTTTTATAAAAAAACAACGTGTTGTATCAATTAATGGATTAAAATTATATTTCTACTTAAGAAAACAAAGTTGTTTTCATATGGCATTTATATATATGGATTATTATATATATGGACTTTTTTGTGAAAAATTTTTATTAATATTTTTTTAATAAGTTAGTTCACATAAATAAATTATTTCAGATAATCAAATTATTTTGTTCTCTCTATAATAATATATATAATTTATACTTTATATTTTCCTTTTTTATTATAATTTATATTGATAAATATAATATATAATAAATTGTATTTTATGATATAAATAAATATATTTTATAATAATAGTAGAATTTTATTGAATTATGATAATATTTAAAAATATTCAAAATATTATATAAAAGATATTTGAAAGATATTAATTAATAAAAAAATTTTATTTGTTGAAAACATTAAAATATCAATAATAACAAGTACAAATTGTTAATGTTAACAAACAGGAAAATTTTGTTCATTATTTGCAATTATCAATAACCAATTTAGCTATAAATTATGATGTTCAATTCAATTCCATAAGTAATATTTTCTTTCTCAAGAGAAAATATTTCCTATTGATTCTAAAATAAGAAAATATTTATTAATTAGAATAACTTTGATGATACTTTGGTAGTAATTCTTAATACTGTAAAAATCAGAGAATATCAATCAAGAATATTATTATTAGAATATTATTATTATACTTTCATCGATCATTTCTTAAAAAATATTAAAATAATAATAAACTACTGTCCATCATTGCAACCTTTCACAATGAAAATTCAACAATTACAACGTTCAAATAAAACCATTATACTACACGTTCCAAGACTTTTCGATTATTATACACACCATAAAAATCGCTTCACATACCATAGAGCATCTTCGTAGAGGACAAACAACGTCAAGTTGAACGTTTCACGTTTTGTACATGTATTATTCAAGCTGACAGTGACACAACGCTTAGCAAGGGTGGATCCTGGTCGGACACAAGAATGCTTGGAGAGAAACAAAAATACGGAAGGACAAGGATCTGTTCACCGCGATGTCCTGCAGGAAAGAGGGGAAAACTGGGGTGTCCAACGAGGGTGACGCGGACAACGAGAGCCATGACGACGACGACGACGACAATGTCGCGCTGATGCTGAAGGAGGAAATGTTATTTCTTTGGAACGCTAAGTGACAGGTCGAAAGACATTCGGAGATACTCGTGCCAGAATGTCGCGAAGACCGTCCGAGGAATGAACGAACAGTGAACCGTCGTGCAAAAGTTCGGACGCAGTTTTGTCAAAGAGAAGTAAGACAGAAACTGGTCGCGAAAAATCACGATGATCGCTTGGTTGAATGGAATTTTATAGAACGATTGAGGCAACTTTTATTGTGTCCAAGAATTTATCTTTTTTTTCGTGTTCTTTCGTAGAATTTTTCTTTCTAGCGAATCAAAAGGACAAGAGGGATTTTGAGAATTTTGAAAATGATGAAATATCAAATCCGTTGAGAAAGTTGTTTATTGTTGTGATAATGTAGAGATATTATGTAATTATTTACTGTAAGATTTGTAATATATGTTTGGAATTCAAAGAACATGATTTTAATAAAATTTACCTATGTTAATAGGCTGAATATTTATGCAAATCGAAATTTTTATGGGCATAATAAAAATGTAATTTAAATAAATATCATAATGTGTTGTTTGCCTTAGATATTTTGCATCGTTCTGTATACCATGTATACTTTTTACATTTAAATTTTTTGCAAATATAGTATAAACATTTGCATATATTAATTCAAGAGTTTGATTAAAGAATTTAATTTTTCGTATGTAAATTGTTTATATCTTTGATAATTGAGATGATGAGATATATTACATGTACAATTATATTATATTTTAATAAAATTCATATTAAATAAATTATATTTAATGATAAGATTGAATTAAATTAAGAGATTGTGAAAGGATTAAAAGAATGAATATGGAGTTAAAAATTAAAAATGGAATTAAAACAATGAAGGATTTAAAAACTAAGTTGAATAAGATGTTGAGATATATAAGCTGAAAATTTATTAATAATCTGATTTCAATAGGATTCAAAGTGGAAACAGTAATGAATTTAAAAATATGATTACGTTACTAAGGTATGAATAAGTAGTTATCTCTGTAGAATTTATAAGTTAAATTTTTAAATAAAGTTTACTCGTATAGTGGATAGGAATTTATGATTCATTTTACTACTATTTATCTTCGTCAAAATTCCTAAAGTTTTTGTATACAAAGTTGGATACATCAATTTTTTTCAATGAAAAAGAGGATATGTTTTCTTAGAATATAAAAAGTTTATGAAATATATATTACGTAAAAAAATTTCCATTAAAATCAAAATTTTTGAGTTAGATAAATTTTCTTCAAAATTCGTACAACAAAATGTGCGAATACTTTTATTTATCATTCTATCGATAATATTTATGTATTAAATAATTTTTTATTGCACGATGCATATTATGCATATCGAGTTCATCGTTATTTATCTAAAATAATAAATTTTAAATTTCGTGTATCTGGGATGGTAACAAAAAATGAAATTCACTATTCAGATAAATAGTGTTAGACTTATTTATATTATAAAATTTTAATCAATTTTTATTGAAAAATTTCTATTGGACAAACAATAAATTGGAGCTTGATATATAATTATAATATTCTCTCTATTGAATTTATATATATTTCATTCTTTTTCAAGATAGGTATTAGGCTATTGTTTTTAATCGCTTCTCTAATTGTTTATTAAATAAAGAAATTAAGAAAAAAAATTAAGAAATTAAATAACAAGTTATCATTTAAAATCTACGATAAGAATTTGAGAATAACTTTACTCTTTAGATTCTTCCAAAGTTCTTTTCATTTTTTTCAATATACAAATTTCCTTTATTTTTTCCATAATTTATTCATCAGTTATTAGTAATCATATGTTCATACTTAGTTCAATATATATATGATATTTTATCATTTATGAGATTTTATATAGTTTATATATAAAGTATTCTGTGCTAATATCCAAAAGTTACTTTTTCAATTTTTATTATTTTATTTTATTTATTATATATTATACATTTTATTTTTTAAAACATCATCTATTACTTAACACACAATCTAATTATTAATTCATCTTAATAAAAAAACGTATGTAAAAAATTAGGACAATCTATAATAACAAATCAAAATTATCTCTCACTCCATAATCTCCAATAAGATTCCGCATCCGCGTACAAAATCAAATCACATCGCGAATCCACTACCACCTACGCAGAATGAAATACATTTTATCGAAACTCTATTCTATCTTTCGTCCTACGTTCAATCAAAAATAGAAACTATCCTAGAAATCGAGGATTGAAAAATCACGATAGAAATCCTGCAAAAAATTCAGAAAAAGAGATCGTCGTTAACACGTTCGTTAATGAGAGTCGCAGTGAGAAAAAGCGAAAAACAGAAAGGTGACAACAGCCAGGTAGGTTGAAGAAAAACGATCGTCCATCGATTCCCATCGAATTACCCATTCCGCGTAAAAGGAAAAAAAAAAAAAAAATACTTTTATTCGGGACGAACGATCGTTCGCCGATTATTGCATTCTCCCGCGCGAAGAGTAATGCTCTCCCGGCATCGTTTGCTTCGCGCGCGCCCTCTAAACCGTGGCTGGCAGAAAAATGGCGAAACGAACAGCCTGAAAGAAAGAAAGAGAGAAAGAGAGAGAGAGAGAAGGAAAGAGAGAAGGAGAGAGAGAGAGAGAGACGAGGCGTGGTTGTGTACGCGCGTGCGAGAGAAAGAGAAGGAAAGAATGGGGAGAAAAGGTGGAGAAGGTATAAAGTAAGGGGGAGCGGAAGCATTAGTGGTATTGCCATACTATTACTCGCGCCCCTCTTAATAGCCCGCCCATTAAAGATAATGAACGTAAATTATGCGTAACGGAGCACAGTTAAAAAGGTCGCCTCTATCTACCGCACGAGGTACGGCCACTCTAAATTGACTGTACGAGTGGACGGTTCCGCATGGCGGAACGCACTGCCGACCGTGAAGAAGTGGATCTGAATGAGGGATTTATCGACAAGGAACACGAACCTACCTGTCACGGGCCCATTGTGAAATTGTGTATATGTTAAAGTTGGGAGAGCTGGGAGTAAATCCAGTAATTTGTGTAATTGTGTTATAGTCATCGATGGCACGATTTTTTGAGGAAAGAGATGTTGAAACAGGTGGTTCCTTGATTATTCAATTTCATCGAACGATGATAAAAAGTTGACGATGGAGATG